TCATTCAAACATCATCTTGTGCTTCACATGAGAGTTCATACTGGAGAGAAACTGTTCACTTGTGATCAGTGTGAGAAGAGTTTCACTCAATCATCAAACCTTAAGGATCACATGAACATCCACACTAGAGAGAAACCACACACATGTGATCACTGCAGCAAAACATTTTTGAGGTGTGACAAGAGATTCAGTCAGTCAGGAATCCTGAAAAGACATGAGATAATCCACAGTGGAGAGAAACCGTTCACTTGTGATCAGTGCGGAAAGAGTTTCTCACAATCAGGACATCTTAAACGACACATGAACATTCACACTAGAGAGAAACTGTACACATGTGATCAATGTGACAAGACATTTTTGAGGGCTTCATTCCTGAAGAAACACCTGACAGTTCATACAAAGGAGAAGCCACATTCATGTAATTTGTGTGGAAAGATATTTTCATGTTTGCAAAGTTTGAAAATGCATCAGAAAATACATACTGGTATGAGAGAGTACATGTGCTTTGAGTGTGAAAAGACTTTTACTTTCATCTTCATCTTCAAAACCAGCAGATTCAACTTTGAGATTCAGATCAACTCAAAGATGGAGTTCCTCCTAAAGAACAATGTCCAAAAGTTTTATCCTTGTACATCATTTTGTTTCATGATATAAATGATATCATTGTGCGTTCTGTGTTTCATATTATGTTCAGTTTTCTTATAATGCATGTATCACTTGTAGTTTGTTTACTCTTTCGTGTAAGTAGAAGCTTTTTACAAACCGTTCTTGTTCAGGAAGCTGAAGAAGAGACTGTTATCAAGCTAATTGTACCTTTCCAACTGTTTGTATGCGCAATAATATCAAGGCATTTGTCTATAATGTGTTTTCATTATTTGCAATCCAAAAGTGAGATATCTCTTGCACTTTAGGGCTGTGTGGTTAATCTAATTTTATTTTCAATTTCGAGTTTGGTTTAGAGGTAAAGCGATATATTGGAGAAAATCTGATATGTGAGTATACTGGATCTATGCATTAGTTCTTAAAGTGACAGCAGCCTAATAAACCTGTAGCCATCCGTATCATTAATGATAATAAAACAATAAAAGAAAAAGAGAAAAGTCCAATCTTTGCTCTTGACTGAATACCTTTAGTAGATTATAGAGTAGATCTGCTGAAGTCCAGAGTGAGCTCTTTTGTTTTGGAGGTGTTATCAGAGCAGCACAGCTCTAGTTTCTGTCCGTTAAATTTTCCTGTCCAACTTCAAAACTGCACCCTTTTTTTATTTTTGGGGGGATTTATTGTAATTTTTAAATTTATTTGGCTAAGTTTGTCAAAACTGATGTAAAATGAATTTCTTTTAGATGAGGCAGAAGGGTTCACCCAGAGCTCCACACAAGCTAGAACAGCCACTGTGTGCCATTATTCTTCTACAGTATTATACAGAACTGACCAGCAACTTCAGAGATTAAGAAATCTCTTGATGTGAGATTCAGTTGCAAATTGAAGAAAAGGCATTTGGTGACTTTTGTTAAATCACTGACAAAACATTGACCAAATTTGATTTCTTGATGATTTTATATTTTATATTAGTGATTTTATAATTTCAAAATATGAAGCAAAAAGTAAAAATGAATGACTAATAAGCCAATAAGTGCCCGTCTGTTGCCATCTACTGGTTATAGTGGTGATTTGATGTTTTTTTTTATTTTTTTATTGTGTTTACCACAAAATGTATTTGGTTATCCCATTAAAAAATAACTTTTAATTTGGATCAGTTTTAGAGCTTTAAGGTGCTGTAAATAGTTGTGTTACCACCAGTGGCGTAGCGAAAAATCGCAGAGCCCCATGTGAACCGCAAGTCCAAGGCCCCCCTTTCCGGGGCTGATAAATATTTTAAAAAGTAGAAAAAAAAACCTGATGGAGATTTCTAATGCTGCATTAACGGCACATATTCTCTCAGAGACGACGAGAGCCTAATCTACTTCAATAAATGCTGATAACAGTACATAACTGTCTGAAATTATTCCCTTAATATTTCTCTTGTGACCTGTATAGTAAAAAACACGAGAAGAAATGTATTTCGCGTTAAACAGGTTGTTTTTGAAAATCGGTGCATTAAATAAAGCTGCTCTTGTAGACCTATAATTCATTGTATAAATTAATAGACCTGTTTAAAAAAATAAAAAAAATAAATAGAGGACAAAGTTACTATACTATAGTAACTGTTATAGTTACTATAATGTAACTATGTTAAATTTGTGGTTACTGTAGTTTTACTACAAATAGCATAATTATGGTTACTATAGTGAATAGTAAATTAATTTGTGAAAACTGTGATTTTACCGCAAATACCATAGTTAAACTAGTTACTACAGTAAAAACATGGTTAATTTTCC